TATATATATATATTATAAATTTATAATTAAAAATAGATAAATCAAATATATTTTTAGTATTTTTATTTTTTAAAATTAGAAAACGATAAATTAAACCAAACATATATATTTTTAAATTGCCAAATTTGAAAATGAAAAAACAATGAAAATTGATAATCCTAGATAAATTTTGAGATGGTTTTCACTACTAGAAAAATTAATATTTGTTACGAATTTTTGTGACGGAAAAAGTATCGTCACTAATAGTGACAAATTTTGTGAGGGAATTTTAATTTTTGTGACGGACTATCATTTATTGAAGTTTGTGACGAATTTTGTGACGGATTAAATTTTGTCTCTAAAAAATCCGTCACTAAATAAAAAAATAAAATTAGTGATGGAATTTTTAAAGACAAAATTTAATTCGTCACAAAATCCGTCATTGAATAAAAAATAAAATTAATGACGAATTTTGTGACGGATTTTTTAGAGACAAAATTTAATCCATCACAAAATCCGTCACTAATTTTTTTTATTTAGTGACAGAATTTTTGTCAACATTTGTATTTTGTCACAAATTTTGTCACAAATAGCTTAAAATTTTTTATGATAAAATTTGTGAGAAATTATTGATCTCTCTCAAAATATTAAATTTTATTTATGAAATTTTTATATGTAAGAATTATGCAAAATTAAAGAATATGTTAAATTTTTTTTAAAAATTATGACAAATTAATCCATCAGAAAATTTATACTTTTGATGGAAAAAAAATTGTAAGAAAAGTTATATTACTGATGGAATATGTCTGACAAATTTATATTTGTCAAAAATGTAAAAACTTTTTTACGAAAATTGACAATCATATAAAAATAAAGGTCCATCAAATTATATATATATATATATATATATATATGATGAGGGTTATAATAATATCGGTATAACTTTTACTAAATATTATACCGCTCAATAACTTTATATTAAATGAGAATTTTGTAAATTCAATCGTTAAATTGAAAATTTACTAAAATATGAACATTTTGATTACCTTCACATTGTTGTTCAAATTTAAAAAAATTTGATATAAACATATAAAGTGATATGAACTTTTAATCTAATGGTTGGATTTACAAAATTCACATTTAATATAAAGTTATTGAGCGATGTGTAATGCTTAGTAAAAGTTACACCGGTATTAGTATAACCCTCCTCTCTCTCTCTCTCTCTCTATATATATATATATAGAGAGAGAGAGCGGAGGAATCAAATAACTTACAAAATAACTTTGGTAAAGTTATTCTGCTCAATAACTCATGCTGTGTGTTAAATTTTATCGATCTAATTGTTAAATTAAAAGTTATTAAATTTTTCTAATAATTAATATAAAAAAATTAATTAGCTTTGGAATAAATTATTTGCTAATTAACAATATAATTAAAACATTAATTATTTTAAATTATTAAACTAAAATCTTATTGACAATTTACTATATGATCTTAATATTTTTGTATAACTAATATCTGGTTTTAAATTTGATGTGAAAATATTATGATATAATTAGATAAGATTTTAAGTTAGTATTTTATTAATGGTTGATAATTAGAAAATAAAACAAGGATAAATACATTTTTTTTTTGAATTTTATATGTTTGATTTAAGATAACTTACAAAATAACTCTTGGTAAAGTTATTCCGCTCAATAACTCATGGTGTGTGTTGAATTTCATCGATCCAATTAATTGTTAATTTAAAAGTTATTAAATTTTACTAATAATTAATATAAAAAAATTAATTAGTTTTGGAATAAATTATTTGCTAATTAACAATATAATTGAAATATTAATTATTTTAAATTATTTAACTAAAATCTTATTGACAATTTACTATATGATCTTAATATTTTTGTATAACTAATATCTGGTTTTAAATTTGATATGAGAATATTATGATATAATTAGATAAGATTTTAAGTTAGTATTTTATTAATGGTTGATAATTAGAAAATAAAACAAGGATAAATACATTTTTTGAATTTTATATGTTTGATTTAAGGTAAATAAATATATTAAATTAATTAATAATTTATTTAAAATATTAAAATTTAATTTATAAGTATGTAATAAATAAATATTTATAATTTTATAAATTATATTATCATTATAAATTATAAAATTAAATAATTTAAATTATAATTTTAAATAGAAATAAGTAGATTGTTAATTATAAAACGTAAGTATCTATAAATAAAGATTAATTAAATATATTATTATTATTATTATTATTATTATTCGTAATATAAAATTATTATATAGTATTATTATTATAGTACAAGTATGAGATTGTATAGTTGAGGATGACTTAAATGAATTAATTTGTACAACTTATACTGACAACATGCATATACATTTTGGTAGCTTATCTCATAAGAACTTCACAGTTAAGCGTTTTTGACTTGGAGTAATATAGGGATGAGTGACTTTCTGGGAAGTCTGCCAGAAATTGTACAAGCAAGGATAAAACACGATAAAAAGTGAAATGCCGTGAAATAG